TCCAGTCCAGGTAGACCGGGTCCTCGGAGGGTCCAGTCCAGGTAGACCGGGTCCTCGGAGGGTCCATTCTAAGAGAGGTCTTGCAAAGCATTCTGGTAAATCTGATGCACTCTACTTTTCGAGGTGCATTGTGGGGGATTTTGAGTGCACTACTTTTTTATCCACTAGAGCTTAGACCCTCTGAATGCGCCCTCAGCCCTCCTTAGCGCTCCATGAGGGGTCAGTCTGAGCTACTCAGCAGATCCTGTTGCTGGTGCTTCTAGAACCCGCTGGTGTTCTGCAGCGGCGGCGTCATCATGGTACGGGAGGTCCAGTTCTAGCTGACCTAGATCCAGGGAGCTTTAGTTTTTCCCTCCTAATGAAGTGAACCTTCTAAAAGCTGCTTTTCATTCTGAACAGGTTGTTTAAATCAGGACCTAAAAACACAAGCAGGGGTGTGAATACTTTTTATTGATGAGGCCGAAGCTTCAGCTTCCAGCTAAATAGATGAACTGAAGCAGGAAGGATGGAAGCGCTTTGTCCCATTTTCCACAAACGCAGCAGCACACAGGAAGCCATTTATTCAACATGTTTGGATTATATGAACAGGAGCTGCCATGGCAACAGGAGCGCTGCCATGGCAACAGAACAGCTGGTAGAACCAGACCCCACTCCCCCCCCCTTTTCTGGGTTGTTCTACAGAACTCTGCTGTTTGGACCCAGGATTGTTCTTTCACCAGAACCTGGGTGTTAACTGTAACCGGGTCAGAACCGGTCCAGAAAGAACCAGGTGGTCCGGCTCATTCAGGAACAAAGGAGTTCTCCTCTGGGTCCAGATGTGGTTCAGATGAACCGGGCCAGAACCAACAGAACCAGATTCCAGGGCTGCGTAAACGGGTCAATGCTGCAGAACGCACAAAGTTCTGGAGTCCTGATCCGTTCGTCTCGGCAGCAGAAAGCATTGTGGGAAATGGAGTCCGGTATCGCTGAAGAAGCTCCGCCCACAGAGAAGAACTCCGCCTCCAAACCGGGTCGGTTCTGTTCGGCTTGGCTCCTGAAAACGGACTGGAGGCTCTTCCTTCATCAGCAGGAGTCCGGACCGGTCCAGAACCGGCTCTCTGGGTTCGTTGCTATGGCAACCCTGAAGCATCATTAGTCAGAAGGAACCAAACAGTTTGGGTCTCAGGTTCTACAGACCGGACCGGTTCTACTGGTCCTCCTCCCCCGCCCCGCGGCTTCCTCTGGTTCCGTCCTCTTTGGACCCTTCATCTTCATCAGAACCCTAAAAACAGAGACATCATCATCATCAGTGACCCGCTCATGGTTCTGATCTGCTCTGATCCGGTACCGACCCACAGCATGACCTCTGACCCGGTACCGACCCACAGCATGACCTCTGACCTGGTACCGACCCACAGCAGCAGCTCAGTTCTATTGGATTCGTTGGTTCTACCGGGCGCAATCGGGTTCTACCGGGCGCCATCGGGTTCTACCGGGTCCTATCTGGTTCTACTGGGTCCTATCTGGTTCTACCGGGTTCTATCGGGTCCTATCAGGTTCTACCGGGTCCTATCTAGTTCTACCAGGCCCTATCTGGTTCTACCGGGTCCTATCTGGTTCTACCGGGTTCTATCGGGTCCTATCAGGTTCTACCGGGTCCTATCTAGTTCTACCAGGCCCTATCTGGTTCTACCGGGTCCTATCTGGTTCTACCGGGTTCTATCGGGTCCTATCAGGTTCTACCGGGTCCT